CTTGAAATATGAGGGATGCAAGGCATTCAAGAAAACTCAGGGATCGAAACAGTAATAAAGAGAATTCTTGGTACCCATGATATACATCAACGACAGAAAATTTTGAGCATGTGAATAAAGACGAAGAAAAGCATATTGTACATGTCAAGATAGAACAGAATGAACAAGAGTGACATACTGAGAAATAATGCATATAGGACAGGGTGCATTCCGCGTATGGCCATCAGTCAATAGTGATAGTAGAAAAAATTATCAATTATCGACTGTCATATGACAATAAATTTTTGAAGTGTTTTCTATTACTGAAGAACCAATTAGCTGGTTGACTGAGGTAGAGTAAAGATATCTATCGGACATCCTGTATATCAATAATCTTAGAATTCTTTTTATACGTGTATATGTTCTTAATAAAAAATGCTCTTAGCTTCCAATAAGCATAGTAAACTGCCATTTTCCCGAATTTCTTTTGACAATGTGAGAGTGGCAAGTTTCAATGACAGTTACCCAGACTTTGTCGGCCGATAGGACTAGTTATTTTACTCCAGAAGCATGCTGTTCGAAACACATGACTTTTTTCATACCAAATAATTTCCAAGCTCTGCAGACCTTTATCATCTTGAGCATACCTGCAACAATGCCACCTCTCCCGGAGCTTCACTGTAAAAACTGTATCAGAAAATGGTGGGCAGGATAAATATTTCGTGCTACACTGAATTGCATAAAAGATGAGAAACAACTCGTCGCTCATTATGCCATCAGGGACTGTTTCAGGAGCAATCGGTGTGTTCTGTCGGTGGGATAGTACTCTTTCATGTTGGTCTCGATTGGTCGTAGATAGACAGAGATAATCCGTCATAGAGCAGTGCTAGATTTCTAGGACCCATGGAGTCATTTTTCACGAAAGAATACGACTTTATTCACAAGAGCATACCTGGTTTTGGTGCAGGTTGAGGTTTCGATGGTGGTTGATATGGCACCCTTTTACTCTTCGGCTCAGCAGCGACACTTGCTGTAGGCTTAGTTGATTGGTAGGATTCTAAATGAAGAGAAAACAGTCTCGTCGTCAGCTGTACGAATTCATACTAGCAATTATATGAGCTTTGGTGTTTCTTTTCAGTAGTGATCCTATTACTAATTGAATATGGATCGAGAAAACAGGATCATTTAACTCCACGGTCAATCCTAGATTTGTAACGTAAAGCAACCTTCAAATAAAACATTGCTATCTAGGCTAGAAAAGATTCTAGGCTTCTATATCGCATTTGCGAAACATAATTTATACTACTATGAATTTTACTCATTTCCGGTTAGTATTACTTTTGTGCTTCAAAGAAAGCATTTTCTCTCTTTCAATTGTTCATCACCATCACAACAGTTTCTGATAGGCACCATTGAACAACACTCGAATACTATCGCACTATTCTTCGCGAGAAAAATCATCGACAATTCTCGGGTTAAAATTCAAAGCATCATCTGCGCAGCTACAAACAAAGTGTTTCTCTTCGGCATAGTATTGTTTTCATTTGACGTTCTCTTCGAAGGTGTCTTCTTTTGGTTCTATCCACAGAAACATGGAACGCTTTAAAACCAAATTTACACAGTAAATAGTGCACATCTGATATCACAAAAGAAATGCAATACGTAAATCATTCAATTACTAGGAGATATTGAGCCTAAGTCATGACCACCTTGGATAGAAAGTTGCTCAATCAACCTCACCGATTTGTCTGCTATTTTTACAGTAGATATAAACATCTGAGTCAGAAATAAAATGAAAGTTTCAACTCAAACGGATGAACTACTCAGAAAATATAGAAGTTCCAAGTATGAGCGGGTATGCTAAATTTGAACTGCCTAACAGTATAATACTTTTCAATAAAGTTTCATTTTCTAAACAACGATATGATTTACAGAGAAGCTTCTTTTATCATGGATACTGCCGATGATGTGCTATCTTTTCATGGTAAAGAAAGTACCTTATCACCTGATATTTTGGATTAGGTATCTCATGCCATCACTAAAAAGCCTGATCTAGAGATTTTCGTTTCCAAAAATTTGGGAGATTGAACTTTGACAGTAAAAACAGAAAGGAATACTTCTGAAAAATCCGTGTAGAGGAGTATAGGAATTTCTGAAAAAAAATTCATCTGAAGCTATTGAGGAAATACACGGATTTTTCAAAAAGCTTTTTCTTTCTAGTTTTCAAAAGATACTTTTATGCGAATCAATAGAGGATTGCGTGATGATCAATACTCAATAGAAACTATTTTATGTCATGAAACTTTTTGATTAATTTTTTAAACGAAGTCGAATGTATCTCTTTACTGTCTCACACACCAAAAATGTAGTTTTGAACGTACCATTCTGCAGGGCATTTGCACTAGTATACATCCACAAAGTTTCAGTACTAAAAGCAGCATTATTGAAAAACGGCGAAGTACAGAATGAATAGGAACAGTATTGGTTATCGTCATTGTTATCTTGAGGGTGCCTCCATTATGATTTTAGTTTTCATATTTCACTTAGAGCTACACAGAAAATATCATTGAAATCCATGACATTAATTAAGCATTATTGGTCGTCGTTATCGTGCACCGGTTCTTAGGTGCAATGCCTTCTAATCTCAGTCGTAATGTTTCTTGGCTATATGCTAGAATGACTAGTCAGAATTCTGAATAGCCAGAATGAAATCAAGTTTGTATCAGACTCTTGGATATTATCTTATGGTATTCTTTCATTTTGTCAAAGTCGTCGTTGGAACAAGAAGAAAGATCATCTAAAGACTTTCACAGGATACTTCCAGCAGCTGCTAGACATTTTAGTATTATGTTTCTGTCAGGATCTGATGTTTTTTCTCATGAAGACCTTATTAGACATATATCAGTAATATTTGCGCAGAACCTACATCTTAGATCGAGGAGCATTTTGCCGGAGCGAGGCTGGATGGACTGAAGTTAAATACCCGAAGTTTTTTCGTGATAAAGTTCCCAATATATATATTCTAATTTAGGCAATACATCTGAATAATTGATATATGTGCTTATAACACATGCCTCTATGTTACGAAATTTTATCTTCTCAACAATTTCAAAGTCAATTGAATGAACAATTAGTGGATACAAACTCTTATCGTGACTAATAATAGAGGATGTGGGTGTGTCGCTCAGTGCTGGTGCCGTGTGTGCATGTGGGCGGGGGTTAAAATTAACCCGAACACACACTCACACCGAAACCGGCTCCCCACCCATATCCATAATTTTCTAAATTTATCTCAACGATTTTTATTTGTTCTTTTATAAAGATTACTTTCAAAGTTATATTATATTTTCATGTTTTCACCAATGATTGATTCTCACTTGATTTCGAATATTAATTATAATTTAATCTTCGAATAAATAGCGATGAGATAAGAATTCATATGATTAACTTTTATTATCAGTAACTACTAGCAATAGTGATGATCCAGCAATCTTTGACACATATACATGTTATTGAAAATCAGAACTATCGATTCTCTTCTCCAAATATTTTTATCAAAAATATAATTATCTGAAGAAAGAAACTTGCTGCAAGCGATTTAACAGTGGAAGATAATATTTTGATGCTAGATCTTTAACGTATCTTAACAACATTTTGTAGATTCTATAATAATCAATAAACGTTTCAATATTGTTTTACAATGTTCTTAGTATTCTTAGTTTGAAAAAATATAGATTTTGTCAGAATAGACTACCGTATATGACCTGCAGCTATTCATTAACTAATGATTAATAAGAGTTTCTTGGTGTTAAAATAGCACGTGCAAATTAGAAATGAATCAATAGATTTCATAAAAGGACGTTTTACCGAAAGACTTTGCAAGGACAATCGATACTTCAGATTTTGAAGGAAAGAAATTATTGTTACTATAATAAATCATCAACACTGGACCAGCGCTAACTGATAAAAAGTGTATCGTATTTTAATAAACTATAGAAAGTGTATTTGAAGAACAGAGAGGGTTAGGAAAGGTGTAGTTGTGATTGTGACTGTAGATGTGACTGTGAATACGAATTGTGTCTTCTCTTCATCGATTCCAACCCAATCACTCACACCTTCTAACAGTCATTCATGTCCACACTCAGAACCAGCATCAATTATCAAAAATACAGCCGCACTAACATATACACACTCCATCAAAAACAAATAAGAAATAGAAAATCAATGGCACATAAACCGTTGAGGGAGAATATAGCCTGATTGAACTGGGTGTGACATTCCGCAGTGACGGGATAAGAGAGAACAAGTTTTTATTGTAATTCTCAATCAATTAGGTTTCCAAATTGAGAAAAGTGTTCATGTCCCTAGAAAATAATATTTTATGTCAAAAAAACTGTATAGAAGTTTTCTAGTGAGGCTTTATTTGAATATAAGCAATCTAATTGAATCCGTCTCTTGCAGTAACTATTTTGTCGGTGAGACTAGTCTAATTCTGCTATCTTATTAATTCAAATTGAAGCATTACTACTCACCTGAATTTTGATCGCACAAACATATATTTCTGTGCCTTAATGTAACGCTGAGAAATGGAATTTGTTTTGATGTTGATTCCTCCATTACTCCATCAGTAACATCAGCTAATATCATTCGAATATCTTGATTAGGAAGTACAATCTGCCTAAGAAGATGTTTTGTAAATAGACCATTTTTTTGCCCGTTTCCATCATCTGCTACTGTTCCAGGTGCACAAGCAAATGCTATCAATGCTCCAGCTTTAGCATTCATTGCTTTGAGACCATCTGATTCAGGATTATTTGTATTCGTCGCACGTGGAGTTGAATTAGAATTACGTACATGATATGTTCTACAACAATCCAACAGAAATATTGTTACAAATGGATCTCGATCACTTAAATCGTTCAAAACGTCTTGTGCATTAATCGCACGTTTTTTCAAATCTGCACCATCAATGCCGGCATTATCTTTTGGTATTAGATAATTTTGATTCTAGAAGCACCGTAAACAAAAACCGTTTTGACAAAATGAAAAGTAACCTAATATTCAAAAATCTTAGTACATACCTCCCATTGTGTTCCATGCCCTGCAAAATAAAATAAGACCATGTCAGTTGATCGTATGGAGGCGTCAAAATCAACAAGAACATGTCTCATTTCTGTGTACGTTAAATGTAGTTTTTTTGTAACGATGAAGCCAATCCCTTCCAGCACCAATGACATATCATTTGCATCATTTTCTGCATTTGGTAATTTTCGACCTTCTTCATATTCACCGATGCCAAGGACAAGTGCTAATTTACGTCGTGGTCCACTTGAAGCACTAGCTGTTGTTCTATTTGCCATTAAAATAATATGAACCTGAAAAATATATTTCGTACAGGGTCATATATCTAGATACAAAATCCGACACAACTAAATACACTAGACATGCCAAATAGTTTTATCGAGTATCGTCCGTAGCATCTACGTACGGTCTTCAAAGCGATGCATGTATACACTCAACTAGATGTGTTGATCAACAAATCGTTAGAGATAATCAAATGCTTCATTCATCGATGAAACTAATTCCAACTAGCAACTCATGGGACGATGAATTAGTTTGGGGTTGCAGGTAACTCATAGAAAACTTTATTTAAAACCAGATCCAAAACACAATATAAGTACTAAAATCTATTTCAACTAGACCCATCGCACAAGCTACAGTTAACTAAAACTAGTTGAAGCAACCGAAAGATAGTGCTAATAAGTTGAGTAAAAAAAATTCACAATTTGCTTTTTCGTTCTATTTCTCAATGCAGATAAAAGAAAAAAAAGTTTTTTTTTCAGTGACCAACTCAACGTAATATTTTCGGTATCCTTGGTGTTTTGCCGATGTAACAATGTCATTGTTCTAGTTAGCGCAACAGATGTTTTTATATCAGGGTGTGGGTTTGGATATAGGTGGGATACGACTATCTATGTTGCTGTCGGTTTGGAAAGAATATCCACACTCACACCGCTTAATTTGATGGGTTCTCTTAACTCGGCACCACAGCACAATGGAGAGCCAGGCGGATATATATGCGAAAATATTCTTTACCAGAGTGTAACTATTTGCGTAGATGCATGCATATGTGATATATCATTTTCTAAAATAGCGGTTCTCAAAGTTTTATGGAGCCCTAAAAAAAGCCTGACCAGGGTTTGGCCCAGAAATCGACACAAATAAAGAATGCCAAGCTCGTCGGCAATATATCACGATATTTCACAAGCTAGTAATATCGTAAAAACCTTGCTCACCTGTGGACTTTATGGTAAAAAAAATTGTCGTAATCCAATTAAAAATAGAGTAGAAAACAAAGGATCTCGAGCCTCAAAGCATATCTGAAAATCTACCGTTCCGTATATTCTAAACGCTACAAAGGAATAACGTCCACTCGAGTGCAAATTTTTACCAGAAGCTTCTGTGTATATATCCTATTTGTGGTAGATGCAACAGCTCATGAAACGTTTCCTAGGCTATTTTAGAGGGTTTCCCGAAATCACAGAGTTTTGACCGAAAATCCAGTTTTAACGATTCGTATTACACCTTGAAGTAAAACTAAGGTGATATTAGGAATCAGCGCATTAAAATACATCGAATGATATGTAGATTAACATATTCTTTCAAAAGACATTTTTTGGAAAAGAAGGCTGAAGTCCATCAGCCATAGTTTTTCAAAAAACGCTTTTATTGGGTTGATGCACAAGTCTCCGCCGATTTTTTTTCTTTTCAGTTTTTTAAAATTTTATTGAAACAAAAGACTATCA